TATGAGAAATAGTACGCATTTACTAAGAGGTCCTTCTTCTTGAGAAAGAACAACAATATCCAAAACAAGAAATCAATCTCCCTTTGTATCATTTTTTGTTTTTTGGTAGCTCATCATCAAACTGCTGTCATGCATAGTACTAGTACTGGTGGTGCTACTACTTGTACTAGTAGTACACCAGCAACAATTCAATGTTGATTTGCAAAATCTACTATTTGATGATTCTTTTGAGTACCAAAGGACAWCAGAGCTGAGTTGATTGCAAGATTGTAATCTACATACCTGCTTCCTCTGGTCTGGAACAATGAGTGTCCAGTTTGCACCTTCTTTACTAGCTAGTCTTGAGCCATCATGCTCTCTGATACACAGCAAGCTAGTAGAGCTACAATTCAAAAAAGCTTGATTTAGCATACAGAAATTAAAATGCTTGTCAAAATGGTTTCACCAGTCATTTAACAATCATGCGTAGAGCAACAGGAAGCCACCACTKYATTGTTTTGGGGGCAATCATGATTTGCATTACTACTCCTCTAGTACTAGCAACCTTCATTGTATTGGCCATTCTTGTTCAAAAGAGGTGCTTGGTACCATTTCCAATGCAAACTTTAAATTACTGTGTTAGTAGAGTGTATTTTCATGTGTAGAAAATACGTTATTTTAAATGGGTGCATGCACAGCTCTACTACACAGTCATGTGTGGAATCCAACTGCCAAAAACTTCGTCAAAAACTATGAAGTACAACAAGTACTAAAATGGAGACAAATATACCAAACCACTAAAATAGGGACATCATTTTTTGATGACGAGTAGCTAGTATTCACCAGGATGACTAGTGTGTGCTGTAGTATTGGGTCATTCCCAATATTATAGATGTCSTAAGAAACAGGTAAATTTAGCACATTCATCATYACTTTCATAATAGCACCAGGAATCAAAATTTCAATGGACAGACTGAGAGGGAGGCTGGCTCCTGGTGTTGGGAATCTGGAATCCTTTCAAGTACTAGTMTAGTTTGACATAAGAACAAGGACTAAAAAGAGGCATGCATGTGGTGATTTTTGTTTTGAGTCATTGAACCTACTACTCATTCACAAGTTCCATCATATATTTTATTTTATAAGATAGCACTGATTTGACCACTATCAAACATGATAAATTTTGTTTCAGATGTGCTAAGTTTTTGGTCTAACAGTCTATCAAAAGTAGCACAGTCTATCTATTATCGGGAATATAACCCTTTCACTGGCCTCAGCAAAAGATAAAAAGTAATTGCTGACACACCCGATGTGGGGATTGAACCCACGACCACACGGTTAAAAGCCGAGCGCTCTTCCAACTGAGCTAACCGGGTTTGACTTACACCCACAAAATTATGTCCTATGAAGTTAGTTGAAATAAATGGTGCGTACTAAAATAAAAAACAGTAAAAAATGCTGAGGTTGACAGAAATCAAAGTGTCTACCGTCCGGTAGCGGTACTTACCTGTACGTACGTTTCGTTGAATGCGGTTCGAATGATCCCATTCCGAGTCCATTGCGGTCACAAGTTCCTCAGGCCTTTTTCTGAAAAATACCGAAATTGCTTCGATGATCGTTGTCGCCTATGTCTGCATTGTACTCCACCCTATTTCACTACCATCTTTGAGACACCGGCCACAATTTTGCTCCTAAGRACCACTTACCGCGTGGGAATCCTGCCACACAATACTGTCCATCCAACAGAACTCTGCACAATACAGAGGCCACAACGCCAAACGACGAATTCGCCATGGCAGTAACGAAACGCGGTGGAAAGGACACCGCATCGTCGTCCGATGGCCCGGGAACAGCCCTGGCTTCTTCGTCCCCCAAATCCAGGCGCCACGATGCCACCACACWGGAATCGAATCGGATACCCAAGTCCCAGTCGCCRTSCAACAGCAGTGGCAACGACATCGAACACGGCGTTCCCACGCGACAAARCAAAAGYGGCAACAGCGACCACCAGACCTACCTCTCCGCCAGGGAGAAGGCTGATTTCAATGCCCGCCTCGAGGAACGGCGGAGACAGCGGCGGGACCACCGTACGAGGCGAAGGCAGCGGCAGGAACTACACCGCGTTGCCCTGGGGATTGGTCCGAGGGGCGGGAGCGTCTACTACCGGTCCAAGTCCTTTTGCGTCGTCTCGTGTATCTTTGTTTGCATCTTGTGCGGCTGGCTATTCACATTTTTGTACCTGGCGGCGGAATTGGACCTTCAGGGCGATGGGCAGCGGAGGGTGGTGGCCTCRCCGATGCAGCTCATGAGAAAGAACAAGGGCAAAATMTTTGGCAGCATCAAGGAGGCCATCCGGGACCTCCCGATCACCAAGCGCTTTCAGAATCGGAGAGGCGGCGACGACGAGAACTACCAGCTTCTGAAAGGCCACAGCACCGATGTCATCGACATGCGGGTGATGAATTACGAGCTCCCCTTCSACAACCCCAACGGCGGAAAATGGACGCAGGGCTGGGACGTGAAACCGGTCGAGCTCAAAAAGTCCAAGCCCCTAAAGATTTTCGTCGTTCCCCACTCCCACTGCGATCCGGGTTGGATCAAGACCTTCGACGACTACTTCCAGTCGCAAACCCGACAGATCCTCACCACGGTGTTCGAGTCGCTCGTCAAAGACCCGAACCGGAAATTCATCTGGGCGGAGATCTCTTATTTCGAGTGGTGGTGGAGGGAGCAGGACGAATCCACCAAGGAAAGTTTCCGGCGGCTCTTGCAAAACAAACAATTCGAGTTTGTGACCGGGGGATGGGTCCAGCCCGATGAGGCCAACACCCAGCTGTACGCGATGGAAATCCAGCTAGAGGAAGGGCACGATTTTATACGAGAAACATTTGGAGAACAATACATTCCCAAATACGGGTGGTCCATCGATCCCTTTGGGTATAGCCCAACTATGGCCTACCTCCTTAAAAAACACGGCTTCGAGGCCATGCTCATCCAGCGGGTCCACTATGCCGTCAAGAAGGAATTGGCCCTWCACAAGAACCTGGAATTCATGTGGCGGCAAACCTGGGACGAGACAGGGGAATTCGACATTTTCACCCACGTCATGCCCTTTTATTCGTACGATATTCCTCACACGTGTGGGCCGGACCCATCCGTGTGCTGCCAGTTTGATTTCACCCGCGTAATGCATCCCCATGAGGTTAAGTACGTAGCGAAGTGCCCMTGGAAMATCGACGCCCAACGCATCACGGAGGATAACCTGGAGGAGCGCTCGATGCTGCTGCTGGATCAGTACCGCAAGAAGGCCAATCTKTACCGGACCAACGTCGTGCTCGCACCGCTCGGGGATGATTTCCGCTACCAGGGCACCGTTGAGGCCRACCTRCAGTTCGAGAACTATCAAAAGATCTTCGATTATATCAACGCCGAGGTCGACAACGTCGAGATATCCTTTGGGACGCTGTCGGAATACTTCAAAACCGTAATGGCAGAGAGGCCATTTTCGCCGCCCCTTCTCAAGGGGAGCTTCTTTACCTACGCGGACCGTGAGGAAGACTACTGGTCTGGTTATTTCACCAGCCGCATCTTCGACAAGGCCCTCGATCGAAAACTAGAGCGCGTTCTGTACGCGGCTTCCTCCATGGGTGCCACCAAGAAACAGATGATGGAACCCCGGCGGGCCCTGAGCCTGTTCCAGCATCACGACGGTGTCACTGGCACCGCCACGGTAGCGGTAGTGGAGGACTACGCCAAGAGGATCCACGGGGCCATTGCCTTCGTCCAGGACTGGATCCGGAAGAATTTGCCAGCGGGGGCGGAATCTAAGCTTCTCTCGGAGAAGGCGGGTCTCGAGGCCTGCTGGCAATCGACGGCCCCCCGCGGYCTGAGCCAGAACCTTTGCGAAAAGGAAGGAGGAGGAAACTCGAACATTATCGTCTACAACCCGCTATTGACGGATCAATCCTGTGGGTCGGTGGTGGTTCCGGGGCGAACCATCGCCCACGCCACCCTGCCATGCGAAACGCCCGGGCCGCTGCCACCGCCTGAGGTCGAAAGCGGAGATCACCAGCAACCGTCGGGGATCAAGTTTGATCCCAACACCGGTCTGATGCTGTATCCGGTTCGCGAGGAATGGATGGTGTGGAAGGTTACGCAGGGCGGGGCCTACCTGTTCTTCCCCGGAGAACTGGGATCCTACAACGAGCTCGACCTGGACATTCGGGAGGGTGGCAGCATCGTGATCACGAAGCAYTGGAAGCGAACCGTCGTKGAACGAAAGCTGTCAAAGAACGAGAGCGGTGGCTTTGGTGGGGTGGCCATCGATTTCGTCTACGAGACCAATTTGCAGACGAGCAACGAGGAATGGTTTGCGCGGTTTACCTCCCCCGACATCAAAAACCAGGGGATCTTCCACACCGATCTGAACGGGTACAACTTCGACACCCACCACTTTCGGAGCGACATGCCCATCCAGTCACAGGTCTTCCCCATGCCGACCCTTGCGTCGATCGAGGACTCGAACAAGCGCATGACGGTCCTCTCCGAACACGCGCARGGTGCGGCCTCGCTCGAAGAAAGCGCCATCGACGTCTGGCTGGACCGGCGGCTGGCCCAGGACGACGGACGTGGACTGGAATCCGGCGTCATGGATAACGTCCCGACCCGGACACGGCTGCGGGTGGTACTCGAGGAGAGAACACCGGAAGCGAGCAAGGCTAAGGAATTCGAGATCACTCCCTTTTGCAAGCTGCAGTGGAAGGAACTGAACCACCCGCTGGAACTATTTGGCACCACCGGGGACGACGAAACGATCCCCTCCATCGAGCTAGCCTCGGTCGAGACGCGAAAGGCCCAACACAAAAAGGGCATGATCGGCTCCGATTACGTCGGCCACGAGCACGTRCMGAGCCCCGGGGATTCTCCCCCCGGCGGCTCTTGCCGCATCTCGGCGGTGTACATGGTCCACGACCGCGTGGAGTACCTGAAGCRGGCCATGGACAGCCTTCGCGACTCGGACTACCCCAAGGACGCACCGGTCGTGATATCCCACGACGGCCACGTCCGAGAGATGGTCGACTACGTGGAAAGCCTCAAGCAGGAGTTCAACATCGTCCAGATCTTTCACCCCTACTCGTGTGCGGAACACCCCAACGAATTCCCRATGGACGACCCCAAGCTGAACGAGAACTTCGAGGGGGATACCTACGGGAATCCACGGGACGGCAAGATCACCTGCTGCAAGCACCACTTTTCCTGGCTGATCAATACCGTCTTTGACATGGAGGAAACCAAGGACGCGGACGGGTTTTTGTTCCTGGAGGAAGACTACATCGTCGCCCCGACCGTCTACCAGACCATCCAGAAGGGCTTTGCCTACATCGACACCAAGAACCGGCGGGACGACTTCTTCGGCATCGGTCTCGATCCGAGCAACGGGTACGCCTACGTGGTTCCCAAGGGCGTTGACTGGGTCGAGTCCARGTTCGTGACGGGGCCGGTGGTGATACGGCGGGAGATCTTCTCCCGGATCAGGGCGCACGCGAAAGAGTTTTGCACCTGGGACGACTACAACTGGGACTGGTCCATCGTCCACCTKATGGCCATGGAATACATCCCCTTCCGGGTCCTGGTGCCGACCACCCTCCAGGCGGCCCACATCGGCCTCGAGGGGGGAATGCACGAGCACGAGGGGGACRGCATCRRCGAGAAGCAGCTGGAGCTCATGCRGCGGTACTTCCCGGACGAGGGGGGCCTGAAGGCCTTCCATGCCGACGTCGGGGTCCCGCACATYCAGCGGATCCGCCCCCCGGAGGTCAAGACCAAGGGCTTTGGGGGCTGGGGCCACCCGGCCGACCACGAGCACTGCATCAAGGTCTTTGAGGGAGCGCGGTAGCGGCAGCAAACGAAYTTCTCGATCGTTCGACCCAAGGAGCGTACGAATCCATCCGTTATGGTTCCATCGATTTTTGCTCACGAAAACGACTATTGAAAAACCCCAGAGACGCAAAAATAATTGTTTATAGTGTCCTGTTTTTTATTCCTGGGAATCCGCCGTTCTCGAGTGGATCCATACCCCGTCCGTCGCTGTAATCCATGCGTTGTGGTGCAGAGAGTACCTTGGTCTTGCTTTTTGTCTTGTTTTGTATCGTTTCGTTTTGTTTTATTTCGTATCGTGTTCCGTGGCTTGGCTTGGCTTTCTCCCGGCGTCCGTGGTGTTGCGTTTATTCCAGTGGTTTCATGACAATGAACTTCTTGGCCTCGTCGGWCTCCCGGAGGGATTCGATGGCCTCCATCTCGCCGTCCGTCAGCTCAAAGCCGTAGATCGACAGGTTCTCCTCCATGTAGTTTGGGTTCCCCGTCCCGGGGATGACCGCCGCCCCCGTCTGGAGGGCCCACCGGAGCATGACCTGGGCGACCGACCGGTTGTGCCCCTCGGCAATCTCGRTGAGGGTGGAGACCGTTTGGGCCTTGTGGTGCTCGAGCGACCCGCCGAGGCTCGAGTAGCCCGTGATGGCAATGTTCTGCTCCTTGCAAAAKGCCACCGTCTCGAGCCACTCGGAAGGCACCCACGGGCTCCAGCTGATCTGGTTGTTCGAGATCGGCGCGACGCCCTCCAGTTCCAAAATCTCCTCCAGYTGGGGCCTGGAAAAGTTGGAGACGCCGACGTTGCGGACGATCCCCGACGCCCGGAGTTCCGAGAGGGCCCTCCAGGTGTCCTGCCGGCACTCGGAAATGTTCCGGCCCGCCGCCTTGCAGTCGCTCGGCAGGGTCATGGTCATGCGGACCGGAAAGTGCATGAGGAGCATGTCGACGTAGTCCAGGCCGAGCTCCTCGAGGTAGGTCGGTACCTTGGAAAGGGCCCGGTCGTAGCCAAAGTCGGACGGCCAGATCTTGGTGGTCAGAAAGATCTCGGACCGGGGGACGCCCTTCGCCATCGCGTTGCGGATCCCCCTGCCGATCGCGGCGTGGTTGAGGTAGAGGTGGGCTCCGTCGATGTGCCGGCCGCCCTTGAGGAGGAACCACTCGACCGACCGCTCGACCGAGACGTCGTCGTAGGCCGTGGGCCGGCAGCACATGCCCAGCCCGTTCCTGGGCATGAGGTCCCCGGTCCCGGCCAGGGTGGCGAAGAGCTCTCCCTCCGGCCGGGGCTGCGGCACCAGTCCTKGGGGGACCGGCGGGGTTTCCTTGGCCCCGAGCCGGCCGTGGCCRAAGAGGATGGGGGGCAGGTAGCCCTTGAGCAGGGGGAYGAGGACCACGAAGAACCGGCCCTCCCAGGGAGCGCTCTCGTCGAGGTTGCACCAGCCCAGAAAGACCGCGAGGCCGAGGACGAGGGCCGGGAGGAGCCTGCCAAAGACGATTCCGGCGACGGATC